AGTTTTATTCTCTATCGGTACCTTTGATGTCGTCGGTACGTATTTTTTACGTCTATATCTAGATACGATTTTTTCAACTTTCCACCTCATTTTCACCCCTAAACATTTTTTGATATTTTTCACCCCATGTTCACCCCCTCAGACGGCCTGAAAAACTATGACGTGGATTTTTTTCTGTAGAATATTATATCATCATGGATAACATATCTCAAACTTGTACGTGTACACATTCAATTTTCGAAAATACGATGTTTCCAACTTTTCACCCCATTTTCACCCCCTCAGACGGCCTGGAAAACTATAAAGTGAAATTTTTCTTGTCGAATAGATCATTGGGAATATCATATCTCAATTTTGTAGGTGTATAAAGTCGATTTTTCTTGTTACGATTTTTTCAAATATTTCCACCCTATTTTCACCCCTTCAGACAGTTTAATAAACAAGGACGGTTCTTTTTTCACTAAACCGGTAAAAAAGCGTATAATATTGAAAAATGGTAGGTGTGTAGAGTCGGTAAATGAAAAAATAAGAATCCAATATTTTTTTCTCAGTGTATTTTCTGGATGTGGATAACTTCACACCCGTGGAAAATTGCATTACTGATGGAAGTCAGTCCAAAAACCGTATAAATAATTATAAGAAAAAACATCCTACACCCATCTCACCTATAGCGGGTTCAAGCTGTACTTCCTCAGGATTTTCACCCAAAATTAATGTTTTTCAGGGGATTGATTCATACCATGGCACACATTAATATTTTTTTTAAATAATTACTTACGGACGAAGCAAAATTTTCAATAAATGCTATTGTGAACGTTCACAATGACCATTTTTGGGCCGACGAAAATCCCCACGGTTATAGAGAAAGTCATTTTCAGCAACAATTTGTGCTAAACGTTTGGGAATGAATCATTGATGACTACCTAATTGGACCCTTATTTCTACCAACAAGAGTACAGGTGAATCTTAAACGGACTTTGTGCTAGATCAAGTACCCATTTTGTTAGAAGAAACGCTAGATTGGACGTGCAGGACCTCATTATTGGCCAGCTCGCAGTCCTGATATGAATCCTCTAGATTTCAATTCATGGGGTCATCTGAAGACTGTTGTTTATGAAACTTCTATACTAGATGTGAATGACTTTATTTTATGTTGTCCCTGGATAGTTTTTAAAAGTTTTTTTTTAACGAAGTTGTATTCTTAGTTGTTCAATCTAAATAATTGCAAAAAGTCAGTGGCGTTCTTTTTTTTTTCTCAATATTGTTGGCCGTGGTGCCCACTGAGACGCTGGACCTAATAATTTCAATCTAGTCCAGGCTAAAATAAGCGCCTTACTACTTCAAATAACTAGCAAATTTCAACCAAACTGGTGTAAGGATATTTTATGAATACGTACTTTTTTTTAAACTTCAACGCCCTGTATCTCAGCAACTTCGGACATATGTTCGTAGGAACTTTTTTTCTGAAAACGACCTAACGAATCATCCTGTTAAGTTCCGTTCCGTACTTGGAAAACACCCTGTTTACGTAGCGTATTCTTTTAGATTTCATTGAATCAGAATAACGTTCTTATTCGAGTTAAGAATGTCTTATTATGTGAATACGTTTTATGATTTATTTATGATTTATAATTATGATCTTAAGATTTCTGAATTATAAATTATTGGTATTCAACTATGATATTTTTTGTCTTCATGAGGTTATGTGAATCAGTAATAAAGTGTGGCAATTTTTCATTTCGTTATCTTGTATATGTTTTTTGTACTGGTAAGTTATATTTGAGTAAGGGACTAATTACTATCATAATCATAATATAAAATTGAAGACATTTTAGAATATTTGATTCATTTGGTTCAATTCCGTTGGGACAGTGATTGAAATCGTGAGAAATATGCACAACTAGGCACCGAGAGTCACGTATGTTTCAGGAATAATGACACCTAGATGTTAATTTCATGCCTGTCAGTTGTATCGCTGTTAGAATGATGAAATAACTGAAATCACAATAACATTCAGTATATCATTTGAGTTTGCATTGAATAATAATTTGACACCAAAAAACCTAGTGAATAAAAGTTGAATTGAGCTTTAAACTTCGTTATGGGCAGCTTGATACGCCAGATTCTATCTAATGGAATTAGGAGGCTATCAGACATTTATAATTTTCAATAAGCGATAAAATAAAATGGTCAGATAAGCTTTATGCAAATATAAAAATATAATACGGTGTGGCTACTTTTTTTATACTCACCTTTGGGATCTCCGAAGCAGACTACCAGTTAAATGAAATAAAAGTTTTGTGTTGTGGTTGATGACCATTAGAACGATGAAGAAAAATCCAACTGAAGATTTTGTGAGATACATGAATATGAACATGGAAGAGAGGATAATTCTTTTTGGGCTACAAATGGTTTGAATTTGAAATATGTTAAGGAATAACACAAAGAATTAAATTCAGCGTCAAACTCATGAGAAACATTGTGTTATTTCTGTTCGAACCGAATGAAATGTTTTTATTATGAAGATGAATATAATTCTCCATGAAACTAGATTTTTTAAATTTTTGTTATAAAAATACTCAAGGCAGAGCCACTTTGCAGAAAATCAAACTCTGCAATACTGTATTACTTTCGAAAGGGATGATACAAAGTCCAGGTTTGCATTTGAAATTTGTTATCTCATCTCATGAAAAGTGTTGAGATGGTGGTCATTTCATAACGAAGGACGAAAGCACCAATAAATTTGTTGATAACTTCAAAAAATATGGCTACCAGAGGTTAAAAACGAAATTGCATATTCGTAGTTTTTCTCTGTATTTCGCAAATTTTTCAATTGATTATGGTTTTTTTATCATTGAATTGTTCATGATTAAACGCAACTTACTTTTCATCCAAACTGTATTCTCCACCGTTTCGGAGATTCCAATGGTAAGCATAAAAAAGTAGCCATCCTGATTGAAAAAATCAGACTGGTCAGCAGTACTATTTTATTCAATCAACATTTTGCAACTTTTTGCTTAAAGTTAACTGGCGATTGATTAACCTGCCTCAAAATTTCAGTAAAAATACCATTTTACAAAATCCCCTCATTTTTTTTACTTTTGAAACAGGCCAATTTTATTTTCGAAAAAAACAAATTCACAGCAAAAAGTAAATGACATAATATTTATCAAACAAAGACAAAGGACTTCTGAAAATGTTGTCTTCTTGTTTCCTAATAATGATAAAAATTTTTATTCTTCAAAATTACAGAAGCAAGCCCATCATTTTAAATTTTCAAAAATGAAATAACAGTGCTACTTTTATTGAAAAATGAATCAGCAAAATTAATTTTTCGAAGAATTACATACCTTAATTAAGTAATTTTCATAACTTGCTTCACTAAATTGTGAAACTGTATTCCGTTTAAAAACAAAATCGTTGTAATTAGACATTTACCTAATACATTCAATCTCACACTGTTGACTGTTTGAGTAAGTTTTACTTACCGGTTAGATACTTTTGGATTACAATGGCTTCTTGGCAGTTACCTTTTTGTTCGATAGAGTTTTTTTTTTGAGAAAGAATGGAGTTGGTTTTCTGTTTCTCCCTCTTTATACGAAAAAATGTGGTAATTTTCCATAGAAAGGAAGGAAGCAATCGATTAAAAAAAATCGACTCTATACAAAAATTGTTTACTTTCTTTCTTTGGAAGATTCCCACATTTTTTGTTTGAAGATGGAAAAGTAGAAAGGCAAATAATGTCTTCCTCAAGAATTAATCTCTTCTGGAAATATACCCTTTCAACATAATTATTTACCTACTCTATAACATTTTAAGATTTGATATGATTGAACCACTGACACCATAAAAAAGCATATCATTGAAAAAAAGTGTAAATATTTATACACTACAACGAAAACACCCAAAAATTTTTTTTTATTGAATGAGAAGAATTTATTGCGAGGAAATTTTTCAACATCTGTTCATGAGAAAAATCTTGTGATAAAGTAACAAGTGACATGAAAAATATCTGAATATCTCTTCTATTGAACAATCAATAAAAATATTTTAAAATTTGTGATTATAATTTTTTTAGTAAGGTATCATCTTAAATCATTTTCTAGGATCATTATTGAAATAAAGAAAATAACGTCAATATGATCAATTTATTGATAACAAAGTTTTCAAAATGTGTTCTTTCAGCCAGGCATATGTTTTTGTAGATGATGTGTTTATGTTGGAAGGTAACATTTTCAAAATATGATAAATAACTGACTTGTATTCACTTGTATTCAACTTTGATATTTCCTTCAATAATTTGTATTCAATAATCTGTTAAAAAAAATTCTGTTTTTCCGTTAACCAGCTGTCGCACCCCTACGAACGACAACCCTCAGAAGTCGAAACTTGTGCGAGCCAAGGATTAACGAGGTCTTACCTTTTAACGTGTGATTCCTAACACGTTATTGCATTATAATATGTAGAAGAAAAATTCATACATTCATTACAGAAGGTGAATAATAAAAAACTTTTTGAAAAATTGGAGAAGTTTGTGCTTTTGATCATTTGATTTTGCAATTCTATTTTCGTATATGATATTTTGTATTTTGGTAACTTAGTTTTTGGATTGGAATGTTGTTTCTTTCGAATGTCTAATTTTTATTATTTTTTCTCATCATCATTATCAAATTTGCTGGTGAATTTTGTAATTTTCTCAGTTCTTAAAAAATATAGCTAAACAAATATTAGCAAAAATTATTCACAAAATCAGATCAAATAAGTGTGTATCAATCGAAAGGTAAAATAAAATCAAGTTCATTTTAGGTGTATTGGAAACGTTGTCAGTTTGTTTAATAAATTCTCGAGTTTCATGAATTCACGACAGTGATATGTAAAATGAAAAATGAAATAGTTTCAACATTTCATATTATATTTTGAATCAAATACAATATATTGACGATTTTATGAAAAAAATGTTTTATTATTATAATTTAAGAAATAATTTACAATTTCAACAGTCTTCACTTAATCAAAATGAAAAAAAGTATGTACAAGAGACCTAAAATTAATGACTAATAAGCGTTATATCATATAGTAATAGAACAATACAAATAAATAATCTTTCGTTAAAATATTTACAACATTTACAAAATTCACTATACAAATAACAGAATTAACATTTAGTGACATTCGAGACTATATGGAAATTCATGAGATTATTACTTAAGTAAAACAGCCTTTGAAAATTCATTGAATACCTCACCATCGAACTAAACGAAATAAGTCCTAGTTTGCGGCGAAGCATCTGGAATAGTCGAGTATACGTGATGCGGGATCTCACTCCTACAGGGGGGAAACTGGGAGTACTGGGGAGGCGGCCTCCCGTCGATGGACACATAACTGTGATTCAGCTGCTCCGAACCATAGTGCTGGCTACTGGAACTCGATCCAGCTTCATCCTCCGTACTTCTGGCCGATTCCCCAGAAACGTAAGTACTCTGAGTCGGCGTGGGCGTCATCGTCGCAGCGTGAACTCCCGGCATCGGCTGATACTTGTACCATGTGTCCTGCGAAGATGGCGGGGCCGTATATCTGGGGTTGGGCTTGCACCGGATCTCCGCTGGCTTCTTTCCCCGCCTGGTAGCAGAATTATTTATGACGTCAGGCATGGCAAAGCGCAGCTTGTCCCAGAACCGCCTCTCTCCCCATCTCGTCACGGAGCAGGCACGTAGCAATGCCCTCAGTTCCGGATCCATGGGCTCCAGAGGGTCACCACTCAGCACACATACCAGTTTGTGGCGGTATGCCGTCCGCAGAGCGGTTTGGAGTGCAGCTCGAAACTCTGGCCTTGACCATTCGTTGCAGATCAGCAAGGGCGAAACGACGAAGATGATTCTCTTGGAAGCGTCAGCAGCACCTACCATGGCGTCGGCAAGGTATGAAGCGCCACCCATGAGGTGGAGGTCTCGGTAGTGGAGACACAGGGTGTGTCCGAAATGTTCTAACTCCGGAGCTATCACCCTGGCGGCAAGGTCATCATCTTTGTGGCTGTAGACCATGTAACAGTCATAGAGCTTGTCTCGATCGTCGTCCATGCCGTGGGATACCATGGTGTCTTGGAAGATGCGGATGCCGTACTTGGAATGGGCCCACAGACGGACTTCTTGGCGGAAAATGAACATGACTGCGACCAGCAAACACACCACGATGACTGCCACGAGAGTGGCCGCAAGGAGAGGCACGTAGTTACCGCCGAAGAGTTGACTGTGTTTCATCACATCGCGCTGAACTACCGACGTGGCGATCACATTGTTCATATCGTCGCACCGGTGTATCACGTCCGCCACGCTTTCGGGGGTTTCGGCACAAAACATCCGCGAGGGATCGCCCCCCGTCTCCCGAATCCAGACAACGAGACGCGCTATCGAGCTGCAATCGCATGACCACTTGTTGCCATCTAGAGTTACGCGCAAGTGGGAGTCTGTGTCGGCGCTCCCCAGCTGCCAAGGGGTGAAGTCGACGATTTTATTGGCGTCAAGTTTCAGCACTTCCAACTTGTGCATGTTCTGGAACGTATTGTTGCTCACGTGTTCGATTTCATTGTGGTCCAAGTAGAGCTCGTTTATGTTCTCAAGTTGATCGAACTCGAAGCCCCGCAGTTCACCCAACTTATTATTCTCCATGTGCAACACTTTCAGGGACTTGACGCCATTGAATGTCCTATTGTGCAGCGCCCTAACGTTGCTGTTGTTTAAGAACAGAATTTCGAGTTTTTTCTTGCCGATGAAAACGTGACTGCCGAGATCGCCCAAGTCATTACCGTCCAGGTAGATTTCAGTGGCATCCATCGGAATTTTCTCCGGCACGGTCGTGTACCCCGAATTACTGCAGTCCACCACGTTGGATGACCACGTGTGATCGTGATAACACGTGCATCGGTCGGGGCAAGTCATTTCGCAGTCGCAGGCGTCAAAATCGCAGCAGTGGCAAAGGGCAAAGCAATGTGTCTGGTATGGACACAAAAAATTCGATGATTTTAATTTGAGAAGAGGTTGCGGCGGCGCGCCCCTGGAGTGCGCCAGCTCGCAGGTAACGGCGTCCAGGTCCAGTACTTGCGGATACTGTCTCAAATTACTCAGGTGATTGATTCTGAGAAGCCACTCCATCTTGCAGTCACAAAAGAAGGGGTTGTCACCAATATAAAATTGCGGCAAGTCTTTGTCGTCACTCACGCGGCTCAAGCTCAGAGCGCTCAAATCCAAATAATTTATATCGTTTCCATACAAGACGACTTTCTCCAAATTCGGTTTGTTGTGAAATGTGTTGGGTTGCACTGTCGTGATTTGATTATTGTTCAAGAATAAAGTTTCTACGCTATCAGGAACGGAATTCTGCTTAATTTCCGTGATGAGATTGAAACTCACGTCAAGCATTTTAATTTTCAGCGTATTTCTCACTTCGTAGAAATTAGCCAGTTCGGGAACTTGGTTATCGTGCATGTCGAGCCATTCCAAACTCACGGGCAAGTGACTGAAATCGAACCATAGTAATTTATTCGAAGAAACGTTCAGCCACACCAGCGATTTCAAGTTTGTAAATACGCCGCTTATGTCAGTTAGCTCATTGGCATCTAAGCGAATTGCTTTGAGAGTGGGATTACTCGAAAAAGCACTCTGTTCCACATATTTTATTCGATTTGAGGCCAAGTTCAAGACTTGTAAAGACGGAAGTGTCGAAAAAGCGTCTCTTGAAATATTTACGATGTGGTTGTCTACTAATCGCAGGCCGTACAGTAAATCGAGCCCTTCGAAGGACGAATTAGTAACGGATTCGATGTGGTTCTTGCCTAAATCGAGGGTTTTCAGGAACCTCAATTGTCCGATACCGGGCGGGACAATACCCAGCATATTTCCGTTCAGGCCAATGTCTTGCAAATTCGTCACGTTTTCGAATGCCTTCGGACTTATATATTCTATCTCGTTAGAGTCTAACAAAAGCTGATTCAGAGCGTACATACCCGAAAAGTGATGAGATTCTATTCGGGTGATTTTGTTGTACGAAAGAGTCAGAGCATGGAGATTTTTCAATTCGACGAAGGCACCTTCTGAAATGGTACTGATGTGATTGTGCTCCAGGTTGAGAATTTGCAGGGTGTACAGGTCGTGGAATACATTAGAGTCAATTTTGCTGAGCTGGTTGTTGGCTAAGTTCAGGATTACGAGTCTGACGAGTCCAGAAAACGTATTTCTGTTGATCCAGTTTATTGTGAGCTCGTTGTGAGACAGATCCAGAACTTGTAGTTGGTCCAAGCCTTCCAGTATGCCTGGAGCCAGAACACTCAAGGAGTTGTTGTTCAGATACAGATGGCGTAGTTCCCTGGAAGATTGGAACAAATCCGGAGGTAGGGCGATCAAGTAGTTACTAGATAAATTCAGAGTGTTGAGAGTTGTTAGTCCCACGAAAGCTCGGTCACCCAGTGTGGAAATGAAATTTTCTTGCAAAAATAGCTTTTCCAGAGACCTCAACGCGGAGAAACCGTTATCAGAGAGCGAAATAATGTCATTGTTCGATAAATCGAGCACTTCTAACCCGTTCACACAAGCGTGGCCCGGGGCCAGGGGTCCATTACCCCAGTCGGAGAACCCGAGAGCCGAAACATTCTGAAGTTTATTACGCGTTAGATTCAAATGCGTCAAACTGTTCAAGGGACAGAACAACTCTTCGGGCGCTTTCCAAATGTTGTTGTCGGCGAGATCGAGACTTCGAAGTTCGCCCAGTCCCCGAAAACTTTCAGCGTGAAGTTCCAAAGTCATCGCGGACCATTCGGAGTTGCGTGACCGTAGCGAGAGGTGTCGAAGATGTCGAACTTGTGATAAAGCTGCGGCAGGAATGTTGCGTATCTTACAGTTTTCGATGCGGAAATCCTTGAGGTGTCTAAGGTGTGACAGAAAGTTTCCGTGTTTCATGGTCTCGAGAGAACTTTCAAAAAATAATACGTCGCTACATTCTAAGGTCAGCACTGTAATACTGTCAGCTTCAGTGTGGGACATATTTCTAATTAGAGCCTCAGCGTTGTTAATCGTGCGAATCTGGCAATACAAAGTCGGTTCTTCACCGCCTTCGCTGAAATCCACCGGCTGCATCTGCCACTCACATCCTTTGGGAGCAGATTCGAAACTTGTTAAACTCCTGGAACTCACAATTGCAAAAACCGAACTTATTACTAGCCAAAACATGGTTTCACTAATACTGAACTGTCCGAAACAAAAAAAAACTTTACTAGTATTAAATCATCACAAACGTAGTGTGTGAATCCGCGCGGCAATTTCTCGGAGAGCTCGACTAGCAACTGTACTAAACGAACTCAGCTTTGTAACTGATGTTTTGAAGACTGTTGCGTACGGTCTCTGTTGTGGAAAAGAGGCCACGCCTCTCGCGCTCCCCACTCTGACTGGAAATTAGGATTCCAGCTGGTTTGCTTCGCTCTGAATGGATGCTGTCACGTGTAGTTTAACGAAATTTCACAATGTGCAAATTGCCAAGTCCCCACCATGTAATTATTTTAATAGACACTTTGGCTGTGTGTTTAAGTGCATGAAAGGTTGTGCTGAGAATAAGTTATTATATCGCACCCTTAGAATGAAAGTGACTGAATTCAAAAAATGCAGTTTGTGGTAAATGAACAAGAAAGTTTTCAAAAAAGTATAGTATTGAATACATCTCAATATAACTCTTTTGTGTTCCGACGCATTAGATCGATTTTTTGCAGATTTATGGATTAGCCTTTTGAGTACACCGTGGCCAAGTAATTTTGTATTTATAATATTTTTAATATATATTTTGACATTAAATATAAAGTAGTTACAAATTGAGTCACTATTGCAAAATTATTTTTGAACTTTTTATCCACTAGAAAACACTTCTGACTTAATACTAGTTCTGCCTCTTTCACACAACATACATAAATGAATAGCGGGAACAGTAAAAGAGACCGAAACATGCGTTGTCCCTGTTATACTTAGAGATAGGTGACTTTTTCTTTACAGGGTTATAGAGTTTGCTTTATAAGGTCAGTTTATGGTAAAATCGAGTATTACAGGAATTTTGAGTTAGGTCACTTTCATTCTAAGGGTGCGATATATTGTGGCAGTACTTTACGCTGCTCATATGAAGTTTTCGTGGATCATTTGTGGTGGAATGGCCACAAAAATGTCGAAATATAAGAATAGGATATGTTTTTGCTGGACAGTTTATAAAATATTGTTAAACTCACACTGGGAAAGGTTGAAAATATAAATTGAACATATGTGTGTGGTTTTACTTCTTTAGGCACATTGAAATGAATTTATTATCATTTACAGAATCATATTGTTTTAATACGATCTCTGGTTGAAATATAAACGAAGCTATGTTTATTTTTCAAAAATGAAATGTGTAATCAAATGAAGAATGAACGTTTCGAGGAACTTCGTTACTCATTAATAAAATCGGATGTTGACGGAAAAAATTATGAAAATGTTAGGAGATGAATTGGGAATAAATTATCGATAATCTATTCAACTGAATATCTAAAACTCAAAAAATGTAGAACTGATGAAAATTGTAATCACCAGTAACAAAGAAAAATATCCCAAATTGATATCTTTCATCACACAATTATCATCAACGAATATCTTTCAATAATTGCGGAACATTTTCTATAATTTCCTTAGGTGATGAAAACGTTTTTTTGAGGACAAAACACAAGCAATACAGGAAAATTCTTCAAACCAGTTGTAAATATAACCAATGTATATATAATGGAACATGGTGAAGTGAAATGTGTTTTTTATATTTAAAAACAAATGAATAATGAGGTATGAAATTCAAAAGTACCTACCTAAGTTTCTGAAAAAATTATAATTTATATAAGATGTAGAAGTATTGATGTAAGACAAATATGTCAAGTGAATCTGAAGAAAATGTATAATCACAGAGCTGAAATGAACTCACTAACTATGGAAAACCCAGGAAAAAATTGATATCTGGTAGATACCATATCTATTCCAGCATCTAACAAAGGAGCTTCATTCGCGATTTTATGTATATTAACGGTAATTGAATTTCAATATCACACTCAAAAAAAAAATACAACTCCGAATTAGTTTCATAATTTCATTTTATTATTACAATTATTGAAAAAAAATAATTATGTATTGCCATAACACAATGAAAACTTATATTTTCTTGAGAAATAAGGATCAAAACGTAAGATTACCTACTGCTTTTCTTTCAAAAAAGCATTACGCAAATATAATTGTGTATTTCCATGTAATGCGCAAATTTGAAATATCAAATGGTGAAAGAATATTTTTTTTACAAATGTACTATGTGTGTACATATACACATAGTACACATGTACACATGCACATAGTACAGATGTACTATGTACAATAATCTTCCTAAATTCATAACCTCAAAATTCAAATTTCAATTGTCACAAAAATATTATTATTGCTTTGCAATAAGATTTTACAATTATACACGTCTATAGAAAATTCTTCGATTCATTCAAATGGTAAATGTACAAAAAAATAATAATAATACAATTTAATTGCGATAATCACGACAGGAAAGGCAGACAGATCTGGTCTGGACACTGGACAGGTAGACAATACATGTCTAGCCTCTTGAAGTACAATAATTCAATCAACGTATATATTGTAATAGTAAAAAGTTATGAATGCTCATTATAAAAGTAAAACACTAACAGATGCTCATTTAAGAAGATATAAGGTATAAGCAAAAATTATGATGAGTATGTGAATATGAAAAAATACGAGAAAAAACGTCTTTACATGTCTCATGCCTTCTTTCTTATACAATTTATTATTATATATGGTGAACAGAAGCCAAAGAGTTTTTTATTCCAAATTTAGATCTGACCTTTTAATGAATACACAAACAATATTTTTTTAATCAAAGCTTTCCCATTCCATATTGATATAATTACTGATTTTCAATAAAATCAGTAACACTAAACTAACGTTTCTATTTGTTCATTTGTTTATAACACAACCCAAAAAATACATATTCCTATGATCAAGTTTCTATAAAAATGCAGCTTTGTTGAAGCCCAGAAAATAAGTTATAATATCATATGAAGATTACAAGTAACTATAAATTGAAAGAATATTATATTTTTTTGTCCCTAAATGGAACTTTTGAGCTACTACAATCAGTAGAAATCAACAGTTTATAGGCTAAGATTCCATTGGTGTGAAGACAACTGTTCCTCTAGGTATGTATCTATGAAACTACATTTTTTTTCATTACCGTGTAACTGCATCACCGTTTAACTACAATGAGTAGAAGACAATATCTTAAATGAGAGGCTGAAAAGCCATTACATGGCCAGTACCGAAACTGCAAAGCACATTAAGTTTGATAAAGTTATGACTTTCTACATTTTGTAGTAATCCAAAATTGATATGAAATAGAAGAATATATTATATTACGCTTTAGGTTGCCGTTTTCATGCAACAACAATGAATAAAACTTTCAGAATTATCGCAGGCTTATAACCTATACCTATAGAATGATATCGAAACTTCGACGCAATGTTAATTTGTTATATTTGGCTAGCTAGGTTTCCAGTGGTTGAAAAATAACATAAAAAAATTGATGAGCTTTTAGTTTTTCATTTTATACGAATGGTTACAAGTGATAATAAATCTTACTATTTATATTATTTTGACTATTATAATTATTGAAAATATGGAAGACGCAATTATTATAAACTATGGCATGTTGATTGGAAGTAGTTGCTTGTTCTCGATTCAGAGATTCTTGAATCGTCTTTGCCAAAGTTGAAACAGACCTCATTGTTGAGGTTGAGACAGCAGTGGCCCTTACAGAATGATTTGTTATTTTGATCTTTTTAACATCAATTTTAATCAATGGTGCAGAGGATTTGAACCAGGAAGATATTGTATTCTTTCCAACTGGACTGTTCTTGTACCAGTTTGGATTTGGCTTGGCTTAGATTTGACCTCGCTTACTTGTTAGTTTTTGTAACAGTCTCACTGGGCATATTTCTTCGTTGAGTCTATTCGGTATGAGCCACTTACTGTCAGTCATTTTCTTTAACCCCCTTGGGTAGTCTAGGAGAAAACCGGATTATAGGTACTCAATGCGGCCTGTTGATTCACGTCTATTGTCAATCTCCTCCACAAAATATTCGAGTTGTGCTGCCGCTCCTTCATTTCCTTTACAGGCCAATTCATGACCAGCATCGTGGAAAAACTTCTTCTGCAGTCCTTCCGGAGTGTTTTCGTCCCAAAGCTCAGTAATTTTTGTCAGCTCATCTGCTGATAGTGCAGATGGACTTTCCTTTCTCTTGGTTGGATCCATTTGTAGCTTCTGGCGCTTAGCATTTTTTGCAACTCTTGCGTTCAAAAATTCTATCTCAGAGAATGGATTCAATTTGCGATTATACTTTTAAAAAAAATATTCATGCAACTGCAAGCTGGTTCAGTTTCGTACACCTTTTGCTTCAAATGGCCCCATCAAAATATCCAAAGGTGCCAAATGTGGCGAGCGGGCTGGCTATTTTGTAGGACCTCGACAGCCAATCCAACGACCGGGAAAAGTAGTATCTAAATAGGTTCCTACTTGTCTGGAATACAACATCCATATCGAATTCATTAGGATTCGCTTCGACAATTTCAGTAAATAGAGGTCCCACAATATGGTTTCCCAATATTTCTGCCCAAACGTTAATTTTTTCTATATATTGGGTATGTGTTTCACGGAAAACTGAGGGATGATGTCACTCCAATAACGGCAATTTTGTCTGTGAACATTGCCGTTTAAAAAAATGTACATTCGTCACTGTAACAAATATTGTGAAGATAGGTAGGATGCCTTGCAATAGTTTCCGTCATAATTTCGCAGAATTCTGTTATTCGATTAGGGTCATCTTCAGTTAATTGGTTTACCATTTTAATTTTGTTTGAATGATACCTATTCCTTTCCAAAAGTCTCCACACAGTAGAAGAAGACACCTCACAAACATTCGCGATGGAATGAGTAGACTGTTCAGAATTTATTAGCATCTCACCAATTATTTGCACTTGCTGTTTTTCCGGAATGGATGGATGACATGGGCGCTTTTTGTTATGTACCTACACTACCGGTAATTGTGAAGTTGTGAAAGTAACGCGTCGCACCGTAAATAAAAATCGCTTCATTTTTTTTTCTTCCAATGGGGGAGAATTAACCATTTTAGTGATTGTTGACGTGGTACCTTTCTAGTAGTAAAACCGAAAACTAAATTAGAATAATCCAACTGAACAATGATGTTCATTGTCGTACTGATATTT